TTTAACACCAGCTCACCAAAACTGGATCCACCTTGATACAAACTACCATCATATGCACACAATACAAGTGCATGCCCAGCCAAGTCTTCCAGTTGTCCAACCTATACTCACAGAGAAGCAGAACTTATTTACTCTAAATAAATAATGTTACAGTTTCACACATAACACAAAAAAGTAAACAATAATACATGTCTACAGAAAAGTCTTAACCCTCCTTAAAAATATTCACTTTACAAAGAAACAGGGACACAAAAAATATGTGCAACAAAGTCCCCTCCACCTTTTCCAGAAAATTTCTTTCCTTGAGCAAAAAGTGAGATAGGGGAGTGGTCTACAAGTTAATGATTTCTCAATTGGCAGTAGTAAAGTATTAGTGAGTCATTATAAACGGAAGATATGAACTTGTCTAAGCCAATTCCCTTAATTTACGGACGAGGAAACCATGATGTTTTTTTTTCTGGAAAATTTGAACACCTGCAGAATGAATTAAGAAAAAGACTTCTACATTATGACCACCTTGAGGTGAAAGGGGAATGCATAGCCAGATAAGAAGTTAGTTAGGGTCGTTCTGGGAAAGCCATACATGTGGGTTTCATATAATGTAATTCATTCCGTTATTAAGGGTAGACAGATGCTTGTAATAGACCTTTCTTGGCTTGCCTATCAATAAATCAGGTGTAATTTAAATGGTTATCATATGAAGAAGTTGACAAAATACAGCTGCAGCTGTAATTTTATAAAATTGAATTTATAGCTTTAAGACCAAAACTTTGGCCCTGTAGTTAATGGTGATTGAAATTCTGACTTGTCCATACCACGGTAACCATGTGGAGGTCTTTTGCTGTCATAAATAATTTGGAATTTAAGATGCATATTTTTACTCTCAATGTTGAGTTAATAATAGAATTATATGCTCCTTATGTTAGAGCACCTCTATCGAGGCTCTTTTTGATTGAGTGCAGATGGCCATGATAGGCTATTTCCCTGGTTTTTCCTGATTGGGTGACCACATATATAATAGATGTTTGAATGAACGTAATTAAGTGGCTATAATCACCTCTTTCATGATGTTTTTTATTATTCTCTTTGCCCGTTTATTTGGTGAAGGTGGACTTACAGAGCTGTAGCCTGAATCTGCTGCCTTCTTTCTGTAAGAATCTCTAGCAGATTCAGGTAACCCCATCCACTTCTCATCAATGGTACGGAAAACTTCTGCATTTCCACCAGTCTCTTCTGTAGAGTAATAACAACACAATTAGTTGATAGTTTTAACTGCCTCCAAGTAAAGCCATACAAGGCTATAACAATAATGTTTACAGAATATATTAATATTTATTATTATTACAATTGATTTACTAGCCATACAAAGCATAAGCTTCATAATTCATCAGCAAATAAATGTATGTTTTAAAGTGTTTTAAAGTTTTAAAGTTTTTAAAAGTGTTAGTTAAATAAGAAAGTACTCCTAAGGAAGGAGGCATTCCATGCTGAAAACCTCAGGCTACATCACTGGGCAAGTGAGCCATGGAACAAAACTTACAAAAAATACAAAACACAGTAAAACAGAAAAAAATACTGAGAAGTAACCATTGTTAGCAAGTGTTTAGCCCTAAAGATTGCTTAACCCTAATCCATAAAATAAAATTAGTGCTTTAAACCCTAGTCAGGACATAATTCTCAAATATTCTAGAAGGAAAACCTCACACACCCAGAGGGAAATATGAAGGAAATATTTTTTAAGTATCTGTAATTTCATAAAATTTTATTTTTTCCTATTGGCTCGCATGGCTCGCATATTAATTGTCCAGCCCCAAAGCTGTTCATAAAAACACAAACATGAACCACTTTAAGTGATACCATTACTGTTTATCAGTCTTAACCAGCTAATTGGACATTAATTTACCCCAGTTTATACTCTTTCCAGGAATTTAGATTTTGGAATTATTAGTACAAAAACTAAACTAATATATTCCATAGTTGATCAAAGTGCATTTGAATATTTCTATAATTATCATCAAAATAACAATGCTTAAGATTGTATTTACATATACCTTTCTGAAGATACTCTCTGGTGAAGGCATTAAAGCCTGAAGCTTTCCTGACAAGTTTTCTGCTTTTTGTAGTGCTGGCCATTTCAGAACCCCTGTTTACTTTAGCACTATGGTTGTTTATCCAGTGCTAAAGCAGAGATAAACACGATAAAGAAAATGGTTCAGGAATTTACTGCAAGGATGTTGTAAAAAAATAATATACCCGTAACAACGGATACATATTTATAAATTAAATCAATATCTGTAAATTAAATTCAAATTTCCTGAATGACATGCCATAGCCTCCTTTAAGTCTGTTTTGTTGCCATCAGCAGGATGCTCCTGATCTCTTGCTTTAGGCCACTTTCCCTTGTAAATTCATTAGACTCAACAATCCAAGTTGATGTGTTAATTCTCAGGGTTACCACAATGAATGCATGGTTATGCAGAATTATATGCACAGCAGTCCATCGTTTAGGGTTGTAAGTGAACATGTCACTGCAACCAAGAGGGAGTGCAATATTTCAGGTATGACTATTAAAAAGAATATAAATCACATTATTTGAAAAGGCAAATAATATCCTTACATTGTGTGGATTAATGAAGCATCCTGAACAGTTTTCAAGACGATGAATACAAATGAGCAAACATCGGTTTGACTTTGAGCTCAACATTTTAATTAAGTTCAATGGGAATAAATATAACAAAAAATATTTGCCAATAATGAGACTTGCAATAGTGCAAGAATACTACTGCCGACAGACATCATTGAATCCAAAATTCATCATTTAAGTGAATGAGATTGTGCATAGAAGGAAAACCACTATTACGATAAACTAACTGAAGATGAACAGACCATGTCACTGGAAATCAGCTGCACATAACTGTGACTTCACCGAGTGGGGGACAATAGACCATAATAGTAAGTCCTCTAAGGCATCATATACAAAAGAAAAAGGGCCAATTCAAATATTGTGCCACATTCAACCTAAAGGGATCCATTAATTATCCTTCAACAATGATGTCACAGATTCAGTGTACAATTATTGAAGTAAAAGGGTGGCAGCAAGAAGACTGACCCAAATCTCCTGCCGAAGAAGCTATTAAAACAGCTGAAAAATGTCCCATAAAAACTACCCACTTCTCCATAATTGTGACTTATTATTATTAGCTTCTACATGACACAATCATCACAAATTACATTATTTTAAAAATTACTTTAGTAAGGCAAATTCTATGATAATAGATTGTATGGCATTGACCCCCTGGCCCCAGTTGTTCGAAAGGTGGATAGCGCAATTGGTTCCTCTGGATAGCAATTCATCCGGTGGATAGCGCTATCCAACTTTCGAACAACCGGGGTCTGGACATACGTGTCACACATGAATTGTGCCAGGGATACTCTGTGAGCAGCGGTTACTGCCATACTGGGGTGCGAGAAACAACCTTCCTTTCTGCATGCATGATTTTCTTCCTCATGCAATTTGCTGGCATAATGGTTAGTATTACTAGAAACTCTTACTTATCACTATATGAGTTTCTGGTACTACATAAGAATTATTAAGCATGCATAGAGTCCTATATGCTTCAGTTTTGTGACATTTTCTGTAGAAACATAACTTGCATTGTCAAATTACATGAACCCTAAGTTTCACACTCTTCTTAAGGGGATGGAGTTGATAACAATGTGGCTGAAACGTAAATCGCTGGACGCTGGGAACAGATGGTCTTAGGCTGAAAGTCAGAAAGTCGGCTTTTAACACAACAATAAGCTTACATATCGCCAAAAAGTAGCCTCTGGTTGCATAGTGTGCTAGACAGAAATTAACCTGAGAATAAATATTCAAGTCTGAACAATAAGCTGAAGCTTAAATGTTGTGGAAGTATTCTTTTTTTTTATACAGGTATACAGGCAAAGGATGAAGCAATAAAGAAAAAATTTGCCCTATCATAAAAGCTTCAGCTTAAATAAGCTTACTGACTAAGGCTTCTTGGCCGACTGAGTTACAAAAATCGTTTCAATCAATCACAGATGTCCGTTTGTGCTGGGTCTCGAAGTTTCGTTTTTTCTCTGCGTGTGTGTGTGTTGGTGGGTGAGCGGGTGTTTCGTTCTTTTTCGAACGCAGAGCCTAGACTTTTATTCAGTCTGAAAACCGGATTTTTCAACCCTACTCCTTCACTGATCGCCAGATGAGAAAATAACCACCCATTGATCAACTCAAGTGAAGCACGAAATTGTTCGTGCGTCAAAAATTGAAAAATATCCAGGAATTATAGTAAAGGAAAGTAATTAAAATGTCGTATTTAAAGAAAAAGCTTCCGTTGTTTCATTTGAGAACTCCATATTTACCGAAGCAACTACAGTATGCAAACGCTCACCTTTACCTGTTCTTCAGTAATGGCGACTTTCGCCGCACATTCCCGAATTTTATCGGGCATATTTTTTTTAGTTGAGGTCATGCCTTCTCCATAACATTTCACAAGGGTATCCTTTTGTTCATCCGTAAACTGAATGCGTTTCATTTTGATCAGTATGGCAAGTTATAAACCTTTCAATACAGTACTCAATCGACCTCAAATGTGGTTAGGTGTACTGTCTGCACAGTCTAGCCCACGAGATCGAAAATAATTTTAGATTGACTACGTCAGAACCTTTCAGTAGGTTAATAGGGCCTATTTTTACCGCTTGTATGCGTTAATTTTATGTTAATTAGATTCGCTCATATGCGGTCAATTTCGAGCGTATCGGGTGTTGTTTTTCGTGTGTAATAGGGAAAGGACTGAGATAGGGTCTTTGATCAGAAAACAGCTTTTTTTGAGTCAAAATACCCAATCTTTGGACCAACTTTATTGTTCATATTTCCCTACTAGGGTCTAATATTTAAAAAAATTAGGTGGGCTGAAAAACTACATTTACACCAATTCACCCGGTGGGGGTGGAGGAGTACTCAACGAAGTTTTGTACGGGGAGGCTTCACCCCTTACCGTTTCATAGTGGAACTCTTACACCCAGCGGTTTACCATGGGTAATAAAATTTGGTTTGGACATCCATGTTATGATCATTATTGACAGGAGTCAATATTGTGTATTCGCGTAATAGTTGAATTCCTTTTTATAGAAATGCTTCTTGTTTGTCTTCAGAAAGTGAGCTTTACCTACAATCGGCAACAAAATTATTTAGACACCGACCTCAAATGAGGTACTTCGATTTCAGGGAAGGAAACAAATTTCACCCCTTCTCCCGCCTCCATTGTTTTTCGCACAGGTGGCTATAATGTATAATGGTGCAAAATTCCTAAGAGGGGATAGGGAAAGGCACAGCTTTAGGGAAAACTGTGTCAACTAAGTTTGTATAGTCAAACCGCCCGTCAGTTATTTTACAATAACAAAGTAGATAAGCAAACTGGTTGTCAATTAATTGCAGATGGCTCCTTCAAGGAAGACACTCCCAAACCTATTAAATTGTTTGACCAGTACAGGAAGAACAAGGGAAAACAATGGAACACTAAGTGTCGGAAGAACAAAGGAAAACCCAAGAAAGAGGAAGTGACAATTGCAATAGGTTTGTTGGAGTGGAAAGAAAAGAGGTTGAAACCAGCAAGGGGGAAAAGAATTGCTCTTAGGGTATCCAACAACGCTCCATGCACACAGATACTTTCTAAAGCAGTTACAAACTGGAAGGCATATCATAGTGACCTCTACATAGAAGATGAAGAGTACCTCCTTGTATTTTGAAAGTGTCAAGCAAGCCCAGTTTATACCTGAAACGGTTGAATTTTTCACCCTTTCGAGGTATCAAGAGGAAATTGGAAAGGATTACAAACGAATTGTCTTGTATCTCCGCTCACAGATGGATAGAAACTGCTGAACACGGATATGACTCCACTGATGATGAATATTCAGTTGAAGAAGGTAAAGCAAAAAGAGCTAAATTACAGATCAAGAATGACGAGGAGTCGACATGAAAGCTGTAGCTTGGATTGGACAAAGATGTAGATGCTGGTGAGTTTGTTGATGATGGTAAACGTGATGGTAAATCCTTACCAGATGTGGCAATCATGTTGCCCAGTAGTGAAGTTACTGTAGATGTGACAATCCGGGAGAACTCTTCTATTCCTAGCACTACAGCTACGAACAGTGCAGCTGAACCTGTCTGCAATGAAAAGCATCCACTACTGTTTTTAACTTGCGAACATATGCTCAGATTTAAACATTAACACATTTTAACCTGGTATAAAGCTTACATTGTAGCTATACCTCATCTTATGTGATAAATAGTCACACTAAGTAGAATATCCATTATCAGCAATGTCTATCAATCTTTCATAGAACTGAAGAGCTTCCTTCCAGGTTGTAGGAAGTGCCAAACCCAGACCTTGTCTAACATACTCAAAATATTCTTGATGCTGATTATAATGTTCTTTTAGAGTGATCTCCTGAGTCACACACACTATTTCATTAGTTGCAACCCTTGCTAATAGATTACTTGTGGTACCATGATATTCTGGCAGGAAATATAATGAATCTGGTCTTCCCCTAACACTATTTTGCCTGGAGCCTCTTATGTAGTGAGTGTTCCAATGCTCCCTGACAGTCTTACATTCTTCTTGTAGTAATTTGGAGAAACAGTACCACAGATACTCTTTGCTCATGTCGGAGGACATGTCAATTTTATGTTGGGCTTCTAGGTCCTGAAACAAATTTCTCCACCATGCTGACCTGTTTTTGGAAAAAAAGGACCACCATCCTTCAATACATTGATTTCATTGTGAAGGGACATATCGATGAGCATCGGGGTTTTCTTCAAAGTAACTCTAAATTGATGCAAGTAGACTGTTCTCAGTTCCCAAGTCAGTAACTACTTCAACAGGGCAGCCTCCAAGTTCTTTCACAGTGTCTAGAAAGTAAATTGCGGGGTACTCTGGTAAGTTATTTGAACGAGCCACCTTCAACCACAGTATACGTCTGCTGAAGCAATCTATACATCCATGAATAGGGAAACCCCATGGCATGAGCTTATTGTATCCATCCACATGCCAAGAGTAGTTGAGACCAGGGTTGTAATATTGCCTTCTTTTTAAGCAATGAGATTTACGTAACTCACTCCCCTCAGAATCAAGTTCTTTGACAATTTCCTGTACGACAATTCTAGGGACTTAAATTCCTTCCATCTCTAAAGTACGCCAGATTGTTCTACAACCACCCATTGATCCAAGACCATCAATAATTTCCTTTACTGCGTTCCCTTACATGCTTGAGTAAATCCTCTGATGGTTGGACCTTCTTGAGAGTCCATATTGTTTCAACCTTCTAAGCAGTGTACTGTAACTAAAGCAATGATTATGGTGCTTTTCAAGGAAACCAAGAATTTCGTTATACTCAAATCCTCTATTGTAGTAATAGGTTATGATCGCTTCTTCATCAAAGTTGAAATCTGTGTGTGAATCTGAATCCTTATTTAATGCATCTTCTAAGCCTGTTAAAAAAACACCACTGTTTAAAATTCCGTTGTAATAATAATGACAAATAAGAGGAGAGTAATACTTAGGTGTCCCTGATACGTTGGCCTATATAGACTTACTGGAAGATTAGACACCATAGTAAAGTTTTTATTTTTTGACTGTATTATTGCAAAAACTTTAAGAATGGTTGACAAAAATCATCAATTGCTCTTTTCACAACCTCAAAACTTGGAATCAATGCAATAAAACATTGAAGATGGTGCTAAAACAGGACACGACAGACCACCGAACGATCAATTTTTTGATTTGCACAGGACACGCAAGAAAAAAACAAATTTTCATGAAGTGTGGATCCTGTGTAGATTAGAGAACTTAAAGTGCTACCATGACGAAATTCACATCTTTCCTATCTAAGCCATTTCAAAATATAAACAAGTAGCCTGTACGAGAAGAAGAATGCTGTTTACTATTTTCAAATATCTCTTTATGTTCCAGAGATATTCAATTTTTTTAAAATATGCGAATTAGCTTAGTGATGATGTCATATACTCAACAGAATTTTTATCAAATATTATAAAAGATAACTCAGCCAATTTGTATCAGAAATGTTTGATTCCTTGCAGAACGATTATACTACCGGTAGATGTGCTTTACAATAGTCGTGGTTATAATAGCCCTTTTACCCATGGGTAAATAGCGTTTGCCCACGGGAAAAGACTTTTTTGTGTGTAACCGCTTTTCCCAGACCGAAACTGCCCTAGGGTTATTTCCATGGATACATCAAAAAGAACAAAAGAACTTCCGATGACAGTTCCTGAACTGAAAAGTACGGTTTATCTGCTCCCTGAGGTGGCTTGGCCAATCATAAAGTAGAATGCAGCTAATACAGGAAATCGCGTGAGGCGCTCTGAGGTGACCTCTGAAGCACTTGGCTAATTTCGCGCCTACTTCTAGCACGAGGTAACATGGCAGGGTTTTGTGCATCACTTTAAGTATTTCTTTCTTTATTTATTTTCATGAGTTTGCCCTTCAGACTGCCAGTTACGAAGTTGATTAAATTATAATCTTTCTGTTTATCTGTTTATAGGAACGCTAGTCAAAATGAAGCTCCCTATTACAACGGATATTTATTTGCGGCACGAAATCAAACAAGGCCGCACGGAATCAACAACACCGGTAATACCCTGTATGGTGTTAGCATGGCTCAAAATCAGCCTCCACTGCATGATCCAGCGATGTTAAATCCCTACCCGATTTACCAGAACCCTGTACCCGGTACTAGCAATCACCTTCAGTTTGAACCAGACAGGGACAGCGCTAGTCCAACTCCAAGTGAATCCTCGAACCGAAGCGACGATCGTAACAAGCGCAGTAGCTGGTCGTTGACCGAAGAGAGATGCTTAATTGCCGCTTTTAAGGAGTACTACGATAGACTTAAGTCTACAAAAAGCAGTCAAGCCAAAAAAAA